CACAGGCTACCTCTAAGAGGTCAAAAAAAAAAATCAGAGAACTGGTTAAAAGTAACTGTTTTGATTGTTAACAGAACATTGCCTTCAGCTGTACAAGTGTTTAAATCTGAAAAAGGGATATGAGAGAAAAGCATTGGAGCACAACCCTCAGTCATGGCCTGAAGAGGAATGAGACACTGCTTTCAGTGAGGAAACTGGGCTGGGATCAGTACTGATAAAACTTGGGATCCAATACAGGAGCACTGTCAGCTCCCTGGAGTTGACACCACATCAAATCATCTTTGCTCAAGGCTGTGTGTGAACAGTTTACTTCTCACAGCTTGTCCCTTGTAGTTCCTCCCTTCTCAGCCAGCATTAGAGAACATCTTTCTGTTCTTGACAACAAGAGTGTAAACACTTTATTAACATGTTTAAATATTATGTAGGCTTAGATATTCACACAAGCATGACCTTAAGTAGGCTGCATTTCTATTTACAACTACTTATCTGAATTTGCTATCCTTTTATATACAGTACTCTCTCTCCTAGTCCTATCTGCCACCATATGGAGGAGACTCCCTTTGATCCTCTATTACTTCTGCAAAATTTTAACGCAATTTTTCTTGCCTGAAGTGCCACTTTCCTTGCTGAAGGAGATAATGCTAAGAAAATATGTTTTGCATGAACTATCTGCTTGTCCAGCAGACCCATCCTCAAGTAATTTTGGGGACATCAGACAATGTTAACTAAATTTGAGAGACAAGTGTGCGTCTCAAACACCCTGCAGACCCTCCGGGCTCTGACAAGCCCAGCAGCTGGGTAGCTGAGTGTGCTACAGCCCGGGCTGAGGCACCACGTGCTCCTCTGCTCAGCTGAAGTTTTGGGTGCCATGGGTTGTTCCAATGGATCTCAGAGCGGACAGGTCAGTCCCTGGTCTCCTCCATGCAGGGCACCCTGCAGTCCCCTGTTCCCAAAAGCTTGCAATTTATGCCCAATGGACGAAGCTTGAATCTGTGACGGTGTCCTTGGAAGGATCAACAGAAACATGCACAGTGGTTTAACAAACTGCCCTGGTCAGCTCCTCTGGAGCACAGGGCTCTGGGCACTCCTGGGGCTACAGGCAAACATCAGGCAGCCACTGTGAGAAGATTTCAGTAGGAGGTGATAGATTCAGAAATAACATCGTGTGAGAGAACACGGTGCACAGGAAAACGGGGGGCAAAGGAGGGGTGAAAGGACAAGCAAGGCAAATTTGCAGAGCCAACGTCTGCAAAGTGCGTCACACTTACCGTGACGAGCTTCATCTGACCCTAAAGACACAATTCATCAATGCTGTGCTGACCTCAAATTATTAAATCCAGGTTTATTAGGCCTGGATTAAAAATGTACTGCTGAATCAGAGCTGGTTCATCTTTGGTGAATGTTAAGGTCTTAGATATTTGCTCACATCCACTTTGGAGCATTTATTAAAGCTTCCTTGTATTTTTTACGTCTAACAAATGAATGGGCCACCTCAGTAGGGAACAGATAATGCTTCTGAAAAAGAAAACTCTTCTTTTAAGTATCTCACTATCCAAATATTTATTTCTGAAAGTGTCCTTCAAAATGATCAGATTACAGTCAAAGTACTAGATGTGATACCTGTGCAGACTTTTTTTTTTTTACATTCAGTTTTAATATTTCAATGTTGATCTCCTCTAGCAGTCAAAGCATTTAAATCAGTGACTTGACTATATGCTGAATAGGGAAATATTTTTTTTCCCCCTGAGTTTACTAACACATCAACGCACTTGCAACAAACGTGGGTAGAGCCCTTCCCAAATCTTTGTTCACCAAGCCCAGCCATGACTAACACATTCTTTCCTCTAATACAGGAAAGGAAAAGGAAGGCAATCTGCAACATGCTTTACACAATTTGCAATATCCCAGTTAATGTCATCTAACACTTTTCCTTTCAAAATTAATTTATTTTAGTTTCTGCCAGGATAAGGAATGCAAGAGCTGCTCTCCCAAAATTCACAATGTGTTGCAAGAGATTTTAGCACTGAAGGGGGGATTAATCCTGGGACTCAAAACAAAGAAGAGAAGAGATTTAAAGGCAGGCAGGCAGGCAGGCAGCTTTGTGCTGAGGAAGGAAAAGCCCACACTAAGCATCACACACGAGATCAAACTGCCCTTCTGTCTGCTGCTGTAGGTCTTCCCTCGTGTGCTCTTCTCAAACTGTTTTATACAAAGAGGGAAAGTACTGGATTACAAATATTTTAAGATAGATCCAATAGGAAAATAATGTTTGGAAAGCATGCAGACGCCTCGACTGAATTTCTAGAGGTATCACAGCAAGTACTTCAACCCTTCAAACCCAGCTGTGAGGCAGCACCCCCTAACCCTCCGAAAAGATCACTCCTCACTTCATGCCTTACCTACTTTGTCACATGGAACAATTTGCTTCTCTGTGTTGTTTAGAAAGAGGATTTTTACACAGAGAGAATATTTTACACAGTATCTACTCGAGAAGCCTGACAAGGGCAGATCTCCACAGTACAAAGCACACCAAACTGAGTGACTCTTGATCACTCACCCAAGTGTAACCCCCCCGGGGTTTGTTTTGTTTGCTTTGCCATGGCAAACAGGGGTGTTAAAGATATGTACATGAGACACATTTCCTCTCTCAGAATGCGCAGTGCATCCTCCCCAGCATCATTCTTTCACACTTTGCTTCATTCAGACGACTACCATATGGCCCTTGTGATTTATTTCACCTGAGCCTCTTGAGTTGTTCCAAAATTCCTCCTTAGAGACTCTGATTTCTGTTAAGGACACACATTGATCTTCTGTGAGGTGGAATATGGAATAAGAGTTTGAAAGTCCTTTCCCCAAGTAAAAGCTGCTATAAATAATAACTTCTTTGCTGCTTTACTTTTTAATTGTTATCACCTGCTGTCAGTCACAAGGCCTAGAGTCTCACCAATGGCATAGTGCAATGGCTCCTAGTGCATTTAAACCAGCTTTAAATCACGTATTCTTTATTCAGTCTACTGCACCTTTGGTTGGTTGTTGACAGAGGAAAAGAACTATAGAGAAGTTAGGTATATCATGTGGTTATTGCAGTAATTAAGACCGTGGACAGCCTGTCAGGTATTACAGATCTTACAGTGCACGTGCCATCACTTCCTTTACAGATGATGTCAATAGGCACAGAAATGCTGTGGCTTTCTCTGAAACCTGCTGCTGTAATAAGGAGAGCTCTGTCCCTCTCAGTCAGATACAACCTTCTCACAAGCATACTTAGAGTTCGCTCACAGCTAAATCATTACAGCAACTCCACGGCCCCTGTGGCAAAGTGACACAAGTAAGATTCCCTTATGCTAAACTTGTGAAACCAAAATGTTAAGTCAATCAATGGCCAAAGGGAAAAGGTGGGAGAACAGCCCTAATCCCTGATGTCCAGCTCCACACTCACTCATCAGAGACAGATTCCCTTTTCAGCCATCTTAGGATCCCTGTCAGGGTGGGGTTTATCCATGTAAATTGGCTCACTGGACTGAGATCTCCCTTTTACCTGACAGCTCCCAGCAGCCACTTTCTGTGTCCAACACTGTAGTTGCACAGTCCAGAAGTGCAGAAAGACAAGTCTGTAAAATGAACTATAACTGGGCAAACAAGGAGTTTTCAAACACATCTCCCCATCAAACTCAAAAAGGACCCACAGATATGTTCAGAATCATTCCTCTGAAAACCAGCGAGTCCTCACCCAGTCTCAGCTTCCGTTCCCCAGCCCTCTGAGCTGTGGAGCTGATCAAAACAAGGTCACAATGATATCCTCCCTTAATGAAAAATATGTTCCTTTTTCATTCCTCTTTTCTGGGGAACAGGTGAGCTGTTTTTGTTCAAACGTTCGACATTTTAACAAAGACCCCTTTGAAGGCCACCCTTGAACAGTGTAGGCCTAATAGGTTTAAGTTTCAAACAGGTCCAGGTTTCCAAACTGGAAACAGGAGGTCAGAATCTAAAAAACTTGTAGACAATGTTCAATGCATCTGTGAGAATTTCAAGATACATGGAAACAACGTAAGTACTCCAGCACATGCTTGTCACTTCCTGTGGGGAAGAAAAATAGAAGAAACAAGGGAAGCAAAAGTGACTCAAATTCACAGTTCAGGAATAAATGGCCTTTCCATCTCTGATTGTGCAGGTAGGAGACACACAGGCATTCCAGAAAGGAAGGCCTAGGTAAAAAAACACCAAACACCCCCCAGCTCCAGAGAACCACTCCTTACTGCATGTGGCTCCAGGGAAGGCTGCCACAGGAGCCAGGGGACTCCTCACAGAGTCAAGCCCAGACAGCTTCTAACCCTAAAGTGTTAAGAGTCAAACCTTCTTACACCAGACAGCTCCAGAACAGGAGACAGAAAGGCTTTTGTGTTACTACTAAGTGAAAAACTAGCATCAACATCCAAATTCTCCCTCGCAGCGCAGATTTTACTGTGCTTTCCTACTTGTAGAAAACCTAAATCAAGTGTTTAGTGTTTCACTGCAAAGTGAGGGCTCAGCAGAGAGAATGTTGGTAAAGTGAGAATAACACACCGTGCCTGCTCTCAGATGTTCATTTCTGTGCAAGTCAAAAATCACAGACAACAGCTTAAACAAATCTTAACATGCCTCTCATGCCCAGAAATGGGATTCCTCCTACAAATGCCTTAGGCATGAACATCACAACACCTTCCTCTTGTACCCAGGCTCCTCCCATTTTATTTTACTCTCTTACCAAAAACACCCAGGTATTTTCATCTTTTTTTCACCTCTCAACACAGTAAATTCACAATATTGTGAAGCTTCCACAGCAAGAGCAAACAAGTTACAGGATCCATTGTTTCAGGTCTTAGAAAGTATTCTTAAAAATAAACAGAAGGGTATACAGATACTCATTATTTCTCTGAAAAGAGACTAGTGTTAATCTAAAAACTTCATTTTGAATGTTTCAGTGAGAAACAGATTTGTAGTGGGTTTATAACCGAACATACCTTTGCTTTCAGCTCAGCACAGATCTCCAGTTGCTTTTGCCTGGAGTCAGCCAGCACCACTTCTGCCTCATGAGCAGCAGCAGCTTCAGCAGCAGTTGCCACTGCCCTAAGGACAAAGGCTTTCCTAGCCTGAGCCCAGCCCAGCAGCAAGGCTCTGCGCTGATTCCTGATGGAATGGCAGTGATCCCAGGCTTTCTCATGAGCAACCTGAAAGCATTTCAGAAGGGTTTAAAAACTATGCATTAATAATATAAAATTATTCTAGATATTTTTACAAACCTTGAGAATACTTTAATTAATTATATTATCACCAATAATCCACAATGCAGGGCCAGTGCACTCTGCCAGGGATGTTCCAGGTGTCCAGGGCAGTGACCCCTCTCCAGCCTTGCCCTCTCTGCCTGCACCATGTGCCACTCCAGCAACCTGTTGGCCCACTGCTCTTTGCTGAACTGCACCTTTGCAATAGGAATTGAATGCAATGGTCCCTTCCTGCCCTGAGGGACATATAATACAATGTCCTTCCAATACATCTCCAGAGATACTGAGTACTTCCAGCAAGATGAGGCTTTTCTTAGCAAATTGTGATCTACAGAGAAACAGGACACCAAAAGAGCTGTACAAAAGCAGTACAGGTGAGAATCAGCTTCACTTCTTTCCTAACAGGGAATTTGGAAATAGAATTTTAGCTTGCCAAGCAGCACAGTGCCACCACCAGCATCACCACCTAGCAAAAATGGGGAGTGTTTAATCCAAAATACACCCTCTTTGGCCTAACTCAGCGAGGTTCCCAAGGACATTCAGGCTTCAAGACTTTGACAGAAGTAGTAGCAGGTGAGGCTGCATAGACCGAGGCCATTGAGCCCTGAGCCTGTCTTATGTCCCCAAAAATACAAGTTACAGGGATGAAGGAGATTCTAGAGATGGCTGGCTGCTCACAGGTGTCCAGGAGACCATTCCAGAGGCTGATTTCCAGGCTTCTGGCAGGGGATGCTGACTGTGCCTGGCTCACAGATATTCCCATCAGTTTGTGGCTGGATGAAGATGGCCCTGGATGTTCCCTTTGGTCAAACACATGAGGCCACCACCTCACCAGCTCCCTCTGTCAGGGCTGCTGCCCCAGACTCACAAAGTGCCAAAGCTGAGACAAAAATCATGGGATGGAGAGTTTGCTCAGCTGAAAACAGGCCTCTCCAGCGAGCTCTGACGGGATCAGGCACTGAGAGCTTGTCCACTGACCATCGTGCACAGAGGGGAGGAGGCCTGGGAGGCTCTCAGGCTGATATTCCAATGTTACACACACACTTTAAGGACAGATTCTTAGCACTGTTTCAGCATTTCCATATTCATCATGCTAATACACATACTAAGAGATATCAGCTCAATGCAGAGTTAGATTTTTAAATTTAGCATTCTTAAATTTTAAATGAACCTTCAAAGAATTAGAACCAATAATAGTGGCTGTGCTTAAAATACATCTCCATTGTCCAAAGCACATGACTATTCATCCCAGTTCTCCAAGGCAAAAGGTCCAAAATCCATAAGAACTTTATTTTTAGTGAAACTCAGGCTAATTATCAGTATCACTTCACTGTCACTCCTTTGCACTAGACACTCCTCAAACACAGGGAAGTAGATGGTCTAAAAATACAGCCAGAGATAAAAAAAGCCTCCTACTTTCCTTATGAGTTCCTGAAGTGTTCTGGCCTTGAAATGGGTTTCTCTATTAGTGCTGTGTGCTTATTCACTGTGGAGTATAAGAGGAATCAGCAATCAATTTGAAAGGCATTATACATATAAAAATAGCCTCTACCTGAGAGCAGGAGATAACTTTTCACTCTTCTTCCTATATATGTGCCACAGAACAATTAAAATAACTATTACTAGACAGTGCAACAAGGCTCTACATCCTTATGAAAAATAAAAACACCAAGAGAAGCAGAGGAGCATGACATGGCTATAAAACAGCACAGCAAAAGCAGTGCTAACAAATTATTTTGTGAATTTGGCTGTAAGAGTGTGTGGAACTATAAAATCTCCCCAGGGCTTGTTTTGAAGAGGCAGTAGGTTTAAAGGTCCTGCATTTTAAAAACAGGGGCATCTCTTCTTCACTATGCAGAATAAAATTTTTAATTAAGAAATTTTAAAACAAAAAAACTTTGATAAACATTCTTTAATACAACTGCTCACTACCGAATTTATGTAAGAATTTGTATAATTGAACGAATATTGAAGCCAACACTGACCAGCTCATGCCAGGATTTGTGGGGAAGGTATCTCTGCAGCATATCCAGGTACAAAGTCCTCCTCCTCTGAAGATCACTTGGATACTGATTGATAACAGCCTGGAAAACCCACTGATCTTCTTCCTTCCAGTCACTGTTCCTATAGGAATGTAAAACAATCCACCCCAGTACAACTTAACCACTGAAAAGGAGGAGTTCAGTTCTGGGTTATTTTTACAGCCCCAGCTTTCAATGGGCTCACAGTCCTGATGCTGTAAACTGCAGGTTGGGTCAGAGCTGAGCTTGTTTCATTTCATGAAACAAAGCAAACATAGAATGCTCTGCTAATGTGACCATCTATTGTGCCATCATTCAAGCAAATTGTTCGCTTTCTAACCTGGCTCTTTACTGACACTGTGTTTCTCCAACATGCTCCGTTGGTGGAGAGCCAGTCACCCCACATGGGAAAATACAGTGTGAAAAAGGAAGAAGATGATCAGACTCTACCACTGAGCACTAAATACATGATCGAAATGGAATGAATGAAGTGACAATCCCTGCATGCAGCTAAATGAGGAGCTAGTTTAAAACCAAACTCCTAACAGCCATAAACTCCTCAGCAAAGCATTTTTTAGAATAGCAGTTGTACCAATCAGCTTGCATTCATCTATCTCTGAAAATCAGCGCAGCAAGTAACGTCCAGCTAAAACAGAGTACCACGGGCTTGGACTCAGTAGCTCAGATTTTACCCTCAATCTGAACTCTTGGCCCCCAAGGGATTAATGTCAGGCTGTCACTGTCAGCATTAACATCCGAGCAGCAACACTGAGTCAGACCAAAAGGTCTCTCTAGCCCAGTGACCTGGTTTCAGAAGTGACTAAGAGCCTAGGGATAATTAAAAGATGGCAATCATGAGATTCTGTAACCCCCACCTCGAATTCCTGCCACCTCCAGCTGCTGCAGTTCCTGGACTGCCTGAGCCAGCAGCAGTGCCTCAGTATTCCATACACTGCATCCAGGAAGGCAATGGAACAGCCTTATCCTTATGCAGGCAGAAAAAAGCAGAAAAAACAGGTACTTCAGAAAGGGGATTTTTATGAGCTGCTGATATGTAATTAATATTAAACTAGACTTCCTTACTCTCTTATACGGTTCCGAATCATGGGTCATCCACCGCCACCACCTGCACCTCCTAGAACACTTCCATCAATGCTGTCTCCGTACAATCCTAAACATCCACTGGGCAGATTATGTGACCAATACATCTGTTCTAGAACAAGCAGCAGTCACAAGCATTGAGGCCATGTTGATGAGAACACAGCTGCAATGGGCAGGGCACGTCTCCAGGATGAAGGACCAACCACCCCCTCCCTAAGATCCTGCTTTATGGTGAACTTGCCACCGGTTGCCACATGAGAGGAGCTCTGAAGAGGAGATACAAGGACTGCCTGAAACAACACCTCAGCCTTGGCCATTTTGATCAACATCACTGGTCTGCTCTGGCCTCCAATCAGGAGGTCTGGAGACACCCCATCTATAACGCTGCTGATGCCTTTGAGAACACACACAGGATCACCCTTGAGGAGAAAAGGCAACGCAGAAAGAATCGTGTCTTGCAGAATTTACCACCTAAGGAGTCTTTCTGCTGTGCCTTTTGCAACCAGACATGCCTGTCTCGTATTGGCCTTTTCAGCCACCAACGCGCTTGCAACAAACATGGGTAGAGCCCTCCCAAATCTTCGTTTGCGAAGCCTGGCCATGAGACTTCCTTATGTGATCCAGCATTATCTCTGAGGAGAAAACAGTGAACATTAGTGTTAAGAAACAATTCTGTGTAACCCAGTTTAACACAACTTTTCTGTAACACATTGCACAGTAAACCTGCAGTGCATTGTCCCCACTGCACAGCACTGGGGACAGTGAAGGGACACAGCAGGGAACATCCCTACACCTGGTAGCTTTATAAAGGGAAAGCTTCACCTGCAGACAGGTCCCAAGAATGCAAAGACACAATATCCCATTTCCACAAACCATTTCACCTAACAACAAACCATTTCTGGCAAGTTTGGTGACAAGCTTACATGAGATAGGAAAATAAGTGAAATATCCAACAATCTATTTCTAGGACCCAGGAGTTTGCTATTGAACCCAGTCCTATTGAAAAGAACAGGAGGCAGCCTTGAAATGGGAGAGCAAAGATGCAGCTCCTGTAAAAAGTTTACCTTTGGTGACAGGCAACCACCAAGCAAAGGTTGGAGACAAGGTAACCAGTGGAACCACAGGAGCCAAAGTAGAACTGCAATGAAAGTGTTTCTGTACAGGTGCCTGCTGAATCTCCCAGACAGACACTGAATATAAACATCTCAGCTGAGTGGTTTCATACCCTAAGCCTAAAGCAGAAAGAGTACCCCAGAAGGGAAATGGGCCTAAGGAATCTTACCAAGAGGGACCGGTGCTGTAACAGCCCATAACTCCCCACTGCAGGCCTGGAGCAGCAGAGACAGCCCCTGAGCTTGGTCACAGAGGTGGCATAGGAAGGATGGGCTGTTTCTGCAGCATTTACTGCCTCCAAGAGAAATGTCTTGCAGCTGATCCTCAGAAATCAATGTTTTAAACTCCTCCCTCTTCTTTAGAGGGAGCTTTTCTATGAAATCAGATCATTTATTAATTTTAGAATGTGTGTTATAATTTGATATTCTGAGGCATAGGATTTCTGAAGAATAACTTTAATGAGCAAATTAATTATTCTTTGCTATGATTTAAATCTCTTTCACTGCAACTGCTTCTACTGATCTGAGTACAAAAATATTTTTTAAGATAACACCTATAATCCCTGTTTTTCCAGCCCCAACATTTTGTTCATTTGTGTATTAGAAGAATCACCGTATAACCCTGGCAGCCTTCACTCAGAGGGACTACCAGCCACTACAAAAGGGAGAAGTTAAGGTTTGTGGAAGATCCTCTGGGGAGCAATCAGCTGGAGCTACAGCTACAAGTAGTTTATTGTAAGTAGGGACAAACTGACTGCCAATGCCTTGGTTTGTAAGCTGTGCCAAAATTTGTCAGCTGTGCTGAGATTTTGTCAGCTGCTCATAGACAAATAGGACCAAAAAAAAAATCAGGCTGACCCAGCCCAGCTCATTCCCAGCACCAAACGCACAGGGAATGTCAACATCCTGCGGAGGGAACCCGAGACGGCACCGCAGCGACACTGCCCTGGAATTCCACAGAGGAACAGCTCACCTACAACACCTCTGGAAACTCCAACACATTTGACAGGAAGAGTTAAGGTAATATCAGGTTTTTGCAGTGTCCAGATATCGACGAACGTTTTCCAGGCTGAAAGCATGACCCAAATTTGAGATGCAGCGCTGGCTGTCCCTGTGTGCAGCATTGTACCAGAGCACAGCACAGCCCGGGCTTTGTTTTGGAGCTGAAACACAGCAATTGTCTTCTCTGCAACAGCCCCGAGGCAGCTGCTTCCTTTGAAACAGATTTACCCAGCATTAATCCCTGGCTTTACACGTCCCAAAGAATCCAAACAGCTCCGAGGGGAAGCTCCCCTGTCCCCGGTAATCCCCACAGATCCCTCGCAGCAGCAGCGTGTGCTGGCACCGCTGTCGCGTTGGCTCTGCAGACACACAGGCTGCCACGATGCCACCAAGGGAGATGGCAACCCCTGCTAGTAATCACGGCACTGCCGACTGGTACCAGAGACATCCCGGGAACAGGCCTGCAAAGAGGAGCTCCGTGTACCTCACTTGGTCCTACCCTCCCACTCATTTGAAAGGATGCAGTGCTGAGTCTGCAATACTCCATTCATCCTTCACTGATTTTAATAATTCAGACTTCCTTGGCAAAAATATAATAGTGCTTAGAGAATCAGCAGCTATAACACACACATCAGTTCCAAGTCCACGATTTGTGGGATATCTCGGGACCTGGGTATTTCCCAAACACAAAAACTTGTGGTTTAGCAGCAGTAAAAGGAATTAAATTAGATTATAAAATATTATAATCCTATACTAGGCTTGAAAAAAATCCCAAGTTTTTCTTCCATTTCTAAAAGCAATGACCACTGCAATGGGCACTCTAGTGGGACTGAAAAGCACACAGAAGAGAATATTATCTTTTTTTTTGGACATTCTATGTGCATTGTCTGAATTCTCTTTTCCAGACAGTCTCAACAGTTTAAAAATGGGATGTGCAATGCCAGAGTAGTATCAACTGAAGGTTTCTTCACTGTACATTCAAGCATATGATGAAAGAAGGACAGAGCAGTAACCCCCAGCTGAAGTGACCAGGTTACCATGTTATCATAGAGTCAAGTTGTACTACTGAGCAACTTCTCAAATCACCAAAACAAGGGAAGAAGTGTATTGCAAGAGGATGTTTGATCTCTGTGGGTGCAGAGCAATGACAATAACTGCAAAGGCTTCATTAAGGCTACATTAATCAGTAGAGCACAGGGGATACACACCAAGGTCAAGGACCTGTCACTCCAATTTCTGACAGCATTATCTGTGCCACTTGGATCACAGGCTGCCTGATGAATTATAGAATACTTCAATCACAAGGCTGCATCTTTGCAAACTCACAGAATATTCCCATGCAAATTAACCAATATAAACGTAAGAAGTGACAGAGTGTCATATCTTTTATAAACCCAGATATTGGAAGTAAGCAATGCTATCAGAACAAAGTCTTGCTTTTTTTTAATTGAAAACACACTTTTAATGTTGCTGTGGATAAAATCATAGAAACATAAATGAGCAATACATTAAAGATTTTGCTTGCCTTCTGATCTCAAAAAAACCAATATCTAGCTTTAAATAAATTGCCTGAGATAATTGCAGATGGTTCATTTATGAATCCCTAAATTCCTAGCTCTCAGTTCTGGCACATGCTGACCCAAAGTGGCTCTCTTGCCCCCCAGTATTGCCTCACATTCCTCTCAGCAAATTGCTGCCACTGCCTCCAGCATTTCCTCCAGCTACATCCCCTTTGGCATTCCCATCTAGAGATCACAACTTCATTCCTTCAGAGCACCACTGCACATGTGTTCATGCTACAGCTGCATTTATTTCCCTTGAAAATATGGCAGTTTATATTTAAGTCTTGATATTCCTGAATTACCAGTGCAAAATTACCTAGCTCCAGCCCTGAATTCACACGTGGCCTCTGAGCAGTGAAAATACTACCACAGATTTTTCAACCATTTTCAGACTTTCTGTTGTCTATATTGATGTTTGTTATTCAGTAGCACACATGCTGTGTGGGTCAAGGATTTAAATTTATGAATGCTCAATAAAATTGTGTTCATTATAAACTTTAACACAATTTTAATTAAAACCACTAGAAAGACTTAGTACATATTTAATGATTTAGCATTTGTCACAGGTTCTCACCGAGGTTGTTAAAAGGTCTGTAACAGCACTGTAACAAAATATCAGAGACAGCAGCAAAGCAACTGCTGTAAATTTGCCACTTGCTGCCTAATAAATGCTATAAATATGGGATAAATCAAAGCAATTTGTAATAAGTATCATGTTATAACAGCTAGGATGCTACAGTAATAATATGCAGGTTTCAAGTAACAGAAGAAGAACCTACAGAATATCTATACAATTTGTACAAAAGGTAAGTAGATCATAACATCACTTTCTGTGGCAGCCAACACCTTGAACCTGCTCCAGCACACCCAACTATCTCAGCAGCAGGGCCAGAAGATCCAAGTGCTGCACTAGAGGTGCATACAGAAAACAGAGATTGGGAAGCAGCGTGCCATTGTTTTACCAAAGAAACCAAGGGACCTTCCTGCTCTCCCCCAGTTTCTTCTGCCCAGGCTTCCAACCCTTCCACTGACCTCCCCCTTCTCAGCCTTTAAACCCAAAGCCATCCTAAGCCACAGGAATATCAGGAGATGGCAAAAAGAAGGCAAAGCCTGTCCAACATCTGCAACTCAGTATCTCTCCTGTACTCTAGACAGTCTCAGCAGAAAGACTAAGCTTTATACTGTTAATATTTATGTTTGTTACATTTCTAGATCATTATGAATAATGTTCTTTCTATAAAGTGTTTCATTTACAGAAAAATCTCTCCTTCTTCCAGTTAATCTGAATCAGAGCTATATACATTTTTCACATTTCTTTGTGATGACAACTACTGCAGCGATCCGAAACTTGTGAGAAGACTGGACCTTTTTATCTGCTTTATAGATAAAAACTTCTGAACATGTCTCAGAAAGCCTGCACTTTTCTGTCATAAATTTGATAGTAATTACCACGCAGAAAGAGTAACTTCTATTCCTGCAAGAGCATGTGAAGAGGACATTTGATACACACCAGATTGTTGGTTCCTTATCCCACCAAACATGTTGCTTATTATTTCAGCAGAGAGCTTTGGCAAGGACTGGCTCCACCCTCAGCTGTGTAAACACTTCCCCACTGTCCAGCCCAGAGCTGGGCAGAGCCTGCACTGCTCTGCACCAAACAGCACCAGCTCGAGTGGCAAAGCCAACTGCAGCACCTACACATTATAAAGGACGTTATAGAGATGCTTTTATCCCCAAGAAAAGTCATGCACAAACCTGTCCTTACCTGGATAAAGCTTCCAACTGCTGGTCGACCTCCTGAAGCCTCGCCCAGTACCCACTGGCCAGCTCTTGGTACTCCTGGATCACCAAGGTCTTCAGGTCAGGGTAAGGGCATTCCAGAGACAGCAGCTCGGCAGGAACTTCATGGAAAAGCCCATTTTTCTCCTCAAAGGAGCCCACTAATGCCTGCAATGAAGAAACACTGCTCAGAACACTGCTCTGCATCATATTTTCTCTCTCAAGAAATTGCTAACTGAACATACAAGGAAAAGCTTACATTTGCTTTGTAGTCTTCAAGCTCTCTCTCCAAAGCCAGACTTTCAAGGACAAGACCTTCCAAAACTGCCTTCTGCTGGTTCTTCACAAATTTGATCTATTTTATGAAACATGTTATTGTTACTTCTTTATCTTGTTACACTATGAAGCCTCTTATTTAGAAACAGTCCGATTTCCAGCCCTACACTGCTACACTTTTACAGATTTTAGTGAGCAGAGATCTATACCACGGCAAGTAGCGAGGTTACAGGATGCTCTATGTGTCAGTAAGTCTCAAAGTTTAACAAAAATAAATGTAAATGGTACAAATATGGCGATAATAAAATGTAAAAATAAAGTTAAAACACCAACCTGCTGTAATATCTCAAATGAATCGATCTCAGGTTTCTGACAAGATTCTTCTGAGAGGGAACGCTGCATTTCTGCCAGCTTGAGTTTGAAATCCTCCTTTAGCTGCCAGACAGGAACTACACTGTTTGTTTGGTAAGTGTCCCGCTGCCTGGACAATTCCTGCTCTGGATCCAAACGAAAGAAAGCTTTCTCAAACACACAAAATATTACACAGCACTGTGCTCTCCAAATCTAAACCTGTCAAGACAGGGTTTTAAAAACTCAAACAAACAATCGAGATAATTTTGACTTTAAAATAATAATTAAGAAATTAATAAAAATTCTTACCCAAGTCCCTCAAATCCAAAAAGAAGTTTTGCTTATGACTTTCTTCATTAAGAAAAGTCTTTATTTCTCCTTCTGCTTTTTGCCTGAAAGGTATAAACATGGATTTTACAGAAGCTTTAATTTCTTATTAATTTTATTTGCAAGAATGATAAGCCTCAAATAATTAATTAAAAAGGGGATTCTTTGCCTGGGAAGGGATAAAGTGCAGGATGTGGACACGAAGGTGGCAAGAAAGCCCCAAATGTTGCTGTTGATCTGTGTCTGTACAGTACCCAGGGCAACAGACAGGAGCAGTGCCAATGGTCCCTGTTCTCAGGGTGAACTCAAAACACACACCCAGAGACAGGCTCCAAAGGAACCCAAACTGAAAACTTCCATACACAAACTCTGGCTGCTGCTGTCTTCCTTCAGCAAGGACTCCTTCAGGTTCCTCAGCTCTTACCTGCTCTGGCTCAGCCTCTTATGCTCTTGCCACCACACCTGCCGGTGCTGTTTCAGCAGCATTTGCTCTTTGTTAATTTTTGAAACTTGCTCTGCTTTTTTAATCTGCAGGAAAAATTAAAGCTTGTATTTTGAATCTGTTCAATAGCTTTATCAAATGCCCTCATATTGAAAATTTTACTGCAGAATGATGAACCTAACAGCCTTTTTCAAAACTTTTTTTCTAAAAACATTTTTCTGAAGAACAATGTGTTCAAGTGTAACCAATTTTCATGGGGAAAAGGAAGCTTATTCCGTTTCAAGTCACAATTAGATGACAGGAGAAAATGAAAAAAAATGCAGTCCATTTTCTTCTTTCCTTTTCCATCCCTATTTCCCAGGGGTGAAGCAGGGGGGAAGATGAGCAGGAGAAAGAAACATTCTTACAGGTAGGAAGATGAAAGAGTGAAAGTGTGTCCTTCAAGAAAAAGAATTTCAAAAATGTATGACTAAAAGAGTATTTTTACAAAATCTGTCCAATTAAAGAGGCTCTGAAACTGTATGAGGGCTTCACAAAAACATTGCTTCACACTTCAGATAAAATAGGAATACCTGCTTTTGAGACAGATGGAGTTAGTCCTTAAGCCAGAGGAAAAGGTGCCAGGGGAGGCTGCTGAAGAGGCAGCCACACAATTCTGGCCAGCCAACAGTGAAGGAAAAGGGATCAAAGCCTGTGGCTGCCAGACATCCCTGAGACATTTCCTCTTACCCTCCTGCCACCCTGACTGTCCCTGGCCCCTCTCTCAGTGCATACAGAGAACAAAGCTCCTTTCCTTCTCCTTCTCTTCGTGCTGCCTTGCCATCCCCTTCCTCCAGAACACCTGCCCATCCCTATCCCAGCCAACTTCTGACTCCAGTGGCTCCCACAATTCACACACAGGCCCTTTTTTCCCCTGCCCAGAACCTTCTTCCTGCAGATAATGGCAAGACAAGAAAAAACCATAGGAAAGCCTTGTCCTAGTTCATAACAGGGAGAAATGAATAAAGATCTCACTCCACATCTAGTTCCACAAAGGAATGATGTTCCGAGTCAAAACTGCTGGGTTTTCCCTTGCCTCAGGTGGAATGAACCTGCAATTGTCCTGCCCAGGGCAAGCTGCACAAAGCCACCCTGAGCCCTCTGTGCTCACAGCATGAGAGCACTGGGAACACACACAGGACACGCAGGCACAGCCCCCAGCGTGTTCCTGCCCTGCCTGGGCCAGGGACACCAGCAGGGAAAGCTGTAGGACTGGGCTGGGCAGCACTCACAGGCAAGCAAGGAGGGTCCCAGCAATTCTCCAATCACAGCCCCTCAGTCACCATCACCAAAGCTAAAATCCTACTTTTGAAATTAGAAACATTTCCCCATCTCAGATGGACCTGAGTTCTGTACATCTGGTTGAATATACCTGGTTCCTAGACAGGAATAAGGGAGAGCAGCTGGAATGTGGCTGATCCATTGTGCTTGGCAGCAAACTTGGTTATGGGGCATTATTGGGATAAGAAGCTGCAAAAGGGGCCATGGAGACATTGTGTGATTGTGGTTGAGAAACAAGGAACCTGCATGTGTGGCTGTACTAGAAGAGAGCTGGAACACACCCGTGCCATGCTCTCAACCAGTATGTTACAATGCTTCTAAATCAAACATAATGTCTTTTATTTTTATTGCTTACCTATTTTCATCTTGAAAAAGTTACTTACAGCTTCCTCTTGGTTACCATCAGGTGACTAAAACTAGACCTCAGCAAACAGAACACTTTATTTAAAGCAATCTGAAAATACATACATCTTCAAATTGGCTCTAAAACTAAGGTGAAACAAAACTCCATCTTTACATATGCTCTTGAAGTTATTTTATAGCAACAGTAATGTCATTTACGTATTTATGTGTAACTGCTGCAATATTACCCTTTTTTCCTGTGTGTGCTGTCTTTTTATTTCTTAAACAGTCAACAACTGATTTACCATTTGTTTCTTTGGTTCTGCCTCAAAGGAGGAGTAAACCAGCTCTTCTAAATGTGGATAGCTTGAATCAGCAACAAAAAGTAGTAGGTGGGAACACATACTGTTCTCTGTGGAGCTTTCAGAATATATATATTTTACTACCTACTCAGTTGGAAAACACTTGAAAAGGTGAAAACCCAAAAGAAAGATGAAAAAATAAAGTTTGGATGAATTCAGTAAAATTTTGTGCTGCCAATCTGTGAAGAAATATCTGCCAGAACTTTTGGTATATGATCCCTCCATGCATTAAAGGAAGCAGTGCTTCCTGTATTGAAGAAAGTATATAAATATGCATTTTTTCTCTCATTCACTGTCACCCTTCTGTACTATTAAACAGATTCCTGTGGTCTTTACCACATGAACACTACTGCACCTATTTATACCTCTCTGTCGAACTCTACATTTACATTTTATGGCTATTAAACACTTCTATTTTTTTTTTAGGATCTACCTCAGCTTAACATTTGGAAATCCTTGCTTCATATCTTTTTGTTTAGCTTATTGTCTGGGTCAACCTTCCCATTTGTTCCCATAAATTCTTCATTGCCTCTGATTTTACGTAATAAGTTTGGATGAGTTTCCACAAAGCACTCAAATACAAACTTTTCCTGTCTTTTGAGGAAGCAGAATCCACACATATTTTGCATCTCTGATTCAAAGAAAGTCCATACATTGACATTAACACATCCAAATCACAGTAACACTGGGATAAACTCTCATATCTGATTCCCTCTGGCTGAATCAATTTTTTATCCCTATTCATTCTCAGATTCCTTGGGGCTGGAAGAAATATGATCATTGAGCTTCAAAAGCATTCACATTACAAGTAATACAAAAATCCTACCTTTAACTGAGTTTTTTCAGAGGCCATTTTTGCCTCTGCAGCAAGTTCATGCAGATGTTTATAGTCAACAGGTTTGTACTTCTGACTGCAAAGAGCCTTTCTTGCAGGAATCACTGGATTTTCTAGTTGTCACATAAAACACATAAGGTCATTTCAAATTCTGGAGAAATAATTTAAGTGTGAGTCATAAAATGAAAGCATTATAGATAGAAATTAGAACCAGTACATTTTAAACACCAGAAGTTTCCATAACAGAGACTGTTAGTTGGGAAATGAGAATTATATAAGAAACAGTAACCAGCTGTATGTTTACAAAATGTTTTAAAAGCATTGTTTACATGTGAATTTTATTATGAATTCACTTTAAACTGCATTTACTGGAATTTTAGTAACTTCTAATACAGAAATACCTAAATTTCAATATATGCATTCTTCTTGCAGGAAGCAGAAAACTGCCTCAATGTTTATTGTAACCTACGGATTGAGCAACCTATGGAGTGATTTTTTTCTAAGAGGTATAAAAACTACCAAACCCACGCAAAGGGGATGAGTTGCAGCTCCATTTCCCACTGCATCCCCAGCCACACAGACCAACAGTTATATCAGAACAGCTCCAGAAAATCAGGACTACAAACCCTGCCTGAATGGGATTTGCCAACAGAACCAGAGAGAACCTCTGAGGTAACCTCAGACAGAGCTGCCCAGTGTTTATGGACAGATTTCCTGGCTCATGGGACTGTGCCAGGCTGCCATTCAGAACAGAACTGTGGCTTCTTCCCCCTCCTCCTCATCATCCAGAGTTTCACAGGCAACCCCTGTGCAGGGGAGAGGACACACGGCCTGCACAGAGGAGGGAGGGCTCCCTCCTTCCCTCCTGCTCACCAGTCCTCATTTTCTCACCATTCATCTTCTCATCACACCAATTATTCCACCAGGTCAGTGTTATGCTAAGCAGGTTATAGCTCTGATCTTGTATTAAGACTATTTCTTTATTCTCTATATACCTTAAACAAAAAGCATCCAGTAGTTTGATCCACTAAATTCTTCCTTTTTACCCTGTGAGCTTAGTACAAACAACCTCCTTTCTCCCGGTCTTTAGGCAGCTTTTTTAAGCCCCCTTTGTGGGTTTTTCTATGTAAAGATTTTGTTTCCTTCTTTCTGAGGCTGCTTGAAACACTGGCCAGCAGAGATCAAGGAAAATCATTCCACATTCAAGGAGGTAAAAACTCCAGACCCAAACGCTCTGGAAAGCTGGAACATCTCTCATGTGGAGAACAGGCTGTGAGAGGTGGGGATGCTCAGTTGGAGAAGGCTCCAGGAAAGCTTTATTGCAGCCTCTCAATATATAACAAAAACAGAGAAAGACTCTTTACCAGGGCCTGTAAATTGCACGAGGGGCAACAGTTTTAACCTGAAAAGAGGCCAGATTCAGACAGGAATCGAGGAAGAAATTCTTCCCTGTGAGGGTGGGAGGCCCTGGCCCAGGTTGCCCAGAGAAGCTGTGGCTGGCCCTGGATCCCTGGAAGTGTCCAAGGCCAGGTTGGACGGGGCTTGGAGCAACCTGGGCTGGTGGAAGGTGTCCCTGCCCATGGCAGGGGGTGGCACTGGATGAGCTTTAAGGTCCCTCCCAACCCAAACCATGATCAGAGAGCTACAGCAGCTTCTATATGCAGCTATTAGTTGCACAGAGTATTTCACAAGTGGTTGATAAAACAATTAAACTTGAACATGATAGCATACACACCTCCATCACTAATCCTAGGAGTTGAAAACAATGTTCCATGGTCCAGTTCAGCCATTTTTATTTTTTAGATGTTTTTTATATCTGTTGAGAAACAAACAGATGTTTTGAGAACACTAACATTGTGGAAGCAATCTAAAAACACATTCAAAAATATCTATTATTTTCTGAAAGAGGTACATCTCACTAAAAATGTAATTGGACAGAAATTCCTCAAGTTCATGTCTCATTTTAAGAGGGATTTCATGTGCCTCATATCATTTACCAGCTAAGAAAACAAAATATTATTTCCTCTGAAATCTGTAATGCTGTCACACGGATATCTAGTCTTTGCTTTATGCTTTTCAGAATATAACAAGTCCCTTGACCCAAACATAAGATCAGTTTTTGAGGTGTTCTTTGCTTCATAGAAATTAAGCCTGAAAAGATCACTCTTTTCTTGCATTTAGAGACTGTGTCTTGATCCCTTTAGGAGTCTCTGCATTAACACCTGTGAAACCCAGTCAGCTCTTTCAGCAGCAGTGGCTCAGCTCCTGGTGAGCAGCTGTATCAAGTACCCACATCATTGTGGGATTACTGTGACATTTAAGATAAAATAAGTTACACCACACTGTAAAAAGACCTTTGAAGTCTCAAGCCCCTTGCTTTCACCATAATTAAACATACATGGATGCCACCTCAGGTCTGGCAAATAAATAAAAGCAACAGATCCAACTGAAATGTTTGAGCCCAACCGAATCCACCACTGAGTCACACCAGAAGGGGAAGGTCATGTCCAACCAGGCTCCCACAAACCCTCTCCCTCAAACCCTGTTCTACTAAGCCAAAATTCCCTACACACAGGATTCCTCCTCTTTGTCATACCTCTGACTTTTGTCTGGTCCTACAGCAAGCAGCAACACAGTAAACAGCAGAGGAGCAAAGACTGTTCAATGGTGTATCATGGAGTTATTTCCTCACTGTTCCAGTGAATTGAACTAGTTTATCCCTACAAATTCCAAGAGTGGCACAATGCAACATGAAGGTGGGAAGGAAGAGCAGCAGAAGCAATGGAAAGGGAACTACTCTGAGAGAGAGCTACTAATGCCAGTCAAATAAAAATGTGAGACTGCAACCAAAGGCAGTCAACATTGTACTTTCCTGTGAGCTTTCCAGCTCACAGGATTCTGCACAGAGGAACCATCAGAAACAACACAGTGTAAAAATCCAGCTTAGACAGCCCACAGGCCCAGGAATGAGTGTCCACACCTACTGCACAGGCACGGTAAATGCAGTTGAAATCACAGCCACACCCCCCTGCTGCCGTGCTCAGTGTGGGGTGTCCTGTCCATGGGAACTGGGAAGGGACAAGGCAGAGAAAACACATGAGCAGCAGGCTTGGCACAGGGAACACTCCTGGACCAAACCAAGGGCAAAACAGTGAATCTCATGGCTAGAGTGTGACATTTCTCAGAGCTTCTTCATGCACAGTCTCCAGTGTTCTTTAGCAAGGCTGTGAGACTGTCCCTTGCAGGCTAAATGTCCCCTGTCCTCACCCAAGAGTGGCCTTTGCAAATCTGGGCTGAAAGTATTTGGCAGGATCAATAGGTCAGAAGCTACACTGAATGTCATCATCTGATCACAAATATTGAAATTAAAAAACCACAAAAGCCAGCAAATACATGAGGGAGTTCATTTTCCTCTTGAAACACTAATGTGTATTTTACCATCTGATAGTCACCTGCAAATAAAGTCACAGTTCTATGCCAAACTCTACACCCTCCTGGAAAGTCAAGGGGGAAAGAAAGGAAGGAAAATGTTAGCACATTCGTACTGCTGATTCTCTTTTTCTCTGCTTGCAGTAATTATTTGGTTTCAATTTGTAACCATATAATACTGCCAGATTCATCCAGACAAATGAGGCAATTCTCCATACCAAAAGCAACTTTGGTCCATTTGTCATGCTAATGTTTTATCTATACATCAGCTTACCTACATACAATTTCCTAACTGCACATATACTTTGGCTGGAATAGATTTTTTAAAAAATTCAAATTAATTCTATATGTAAAGCTTTAAGGTAGGGATTTACATAACACAGTGAAGTATGGGATTCACCTTACTTATTTCTTCAGGATGCACAAAGACAGTTTAAATAATGCTTCTTCTCCCCCTAAAGACAAAATGTGATTTTCTGCTTCTTGTTAGAAAGGTCAGCTACACACAGGCTTGCCTTTCTGTCTCTAGGACTCGTCACTGGAAATACAACTGAACAAGAAATGCTCCATCACCAACACACAAATCTTTAAGTTATGGACAGATAATTTCAAAAGACATATAAAGAAAATTCTTTTTATTCAGGTTGTTTACAAGTCTATAAATTAGTTTTAGTTTAGTCTCCCTGCTGTCATAATTCCCTTAGATTTCCAGCCTCCAAGACTGTCTTCCTGGGAGGAGGGGAAAGTAGACAAATCACGAAATTCTGCAATTATAAATGGGGACAGAGAGGGAACCATAACAAAGGAAAAGTGAAACCCTTGGAACTGGCATCATTTCCATGGAATTCTATAATATTCAGCACTTTCTGGAAAGTCCAGCACAATTATGTGACAATCTCCCACCGAATTTACAGTCATTAAGGTTGAACGGGAAAATTCAAAACACTAATAATAAAAACCTCACATTCTTTGCTGAATTTTACCCTTTCATTTAAGAGTAAATACCTGGATTTAGAGAAAAGGGAAAGCATCACAAGGTATTTAAATTCTTTATTTTAAAACTTTTTTGATTGACCAGTCTAAACCTTTCATAGATTTCTTTCTTAGAAAGATAAGTCTCAATTCATAGGCTCTGTCAGGAAAATGTGAATATTTAACTGTGGCTTGGTATTTCTGTAACCCTACTGATGCTATTAATAACATAGGAGTGAAGACTAACTGCATCAAATCTCTTCTTCCCCTATCAGATGCAGCCTGTAGTTACATGGGTCAGGAAAAGCAGGGCCAGAACCTTCCCAAGGATCCTGAACAAGCTTGGCCATTCTCCAGCAGAGCCCTTGGAGCTCTTCAGATCAGCAGCACCATTTTTAAACAACAGCAAGTTCTCTTGAGGGTTTTGTGTACAATGGTTAATATTTACTCAGCAATGTTGATTTCCTTAGCAGAGATATCAGCAGGGCTATCATGTCGTGAGACTGCAAACAGAAGTAAATATATCTGCATTGCACTTGGAGCAGATTGTCTGCACAACACTTGGGGCACCACATGAGCTTTGGAGATCTGCACCAGCAGCAGCTTCAACCAAGCCACCAGAATTCCTCAAAGGAAAAGCAGGAAAATATATCTACAAAGGAAAACAAAACATGGGATAGTCCCAACTACCGTGTGGGACAGCAGAGCTCCTTGCAGAGTCAAAAGGAGAGACACACAACAGTGAAAGCTGCCTTGGCTTTGCCTGCGACCACTGGCAGCTCTCAGCACCCACCTCCCCCAGGCTCAAGGGAGGGAGGGCATTCAGTGGTACAAAGCACACAATTTACCTCAGAACATTCTCTGACTGCTCTTTTCACATGGTTAGTCTTTAGAAAGGGCATTCAAGCCTCCACCTTCAGCTGTCCCAGCCCTCCCTCCAGCCCAGTGCCACAGCAGTGACACTGCTCTGGGAGCTCAGGGCCCCAGCACCACCCCAGGAAATCCCTCTGATCCCTGGGATTCAGTAATTTCACATAGCATAAAATCTACTTCTAGTTCTCATTCTTGCAAGTATAACCCATGGAGAATCACATGTATCAGATTTTTTTTTTCTACTTCCTCTTGCATTTCCACTCTAGTTCATGGAAAGTGATGCAAATGTTTCAGGGCACATCTTAGTTTTTAACAAGAGTCACTAGATTTTGCATCTGGCAGTGCTTCTAATCACCTTCATACTTTTGCTCTTGAAGAGACTATTGGTATTTTTGTATTTTATAACCTTAAAAGAGTAATTTCAACTATGTCAATGCTCCCATTAAATTCTATGAGATGTTAGTATTTCTCCTGGTTGTAGAATCAGTATTAAAGGGGAAAGGAAATCAATTTAGGGCGAGGCTTAGTGTATTTACATTATAAAGACACTTTACAAAGATAGAATTATTTGTAGGTTTAAACCCAAGAAATTTAACTGACAGGTGATTAATTCTAGGGGTCCTTGCTCAACCCCTCCCCAGCAGGCTCCCTGTCAGCTTCAATTGAAATCTTGCACTGAATGCATGCTACATCTTACAACACAGACTTAGCATTCCTCATGAAAATTATTAATTTTTAAAGGTTTGCTGCTGCTTGAACAGAGCTAATGAGTTACAGCTAATGATTTTTTTTTCCATACACCTATGCGTTCTGGAATCTAAACTACTTAAAGAGTTGAAATATCAATTTCAGGAAGAGTTAATTGCACTAAAGCATATTTTTGCCTTCACAGGGTACAACAGAATAACTTAAATTTTTATACCTCCTTTCTAAGGAAGGTTATTCAGTAAGCAGTACTGCTTCAAACCAGAGGAACTTAATTTCCCTTGCCACAGTTTCTTTGGGAATAGGTTTGTTTCTGTGGTGTTTTTTTAGCCATTAGTTATTAATATCCACAAAATGCAGCTTGAACCAAACACACTATCCAGGAACTTGGTCAATCCATTTATCATTTGTGACCAGAAAGGCTATGAACAGATTCCAGAAGATTAACACCTTAGCATTTGAAACTTTCAAACACAGCTCTTTAGGACACAGCCACAAGGAAATCATTAACAAGAGAGAAAATGAAAGCTCTAAAAGAAGGCAAAGAGCTGCATTAGGGAGCTCTGCCAGTTAGCATTACGTGCTGTACAACTGCACAGGAGGATGCAAACTGTTTCTGTAAGTACCAGCAACCCCTACCCAGGCTTGGCAGAATGAGCAGCACCTTGCAAGACAAACCTGGACTTTCCCCAGTGTGATTTCCAGGCTGGCTTCTGGTTATTCTCCTGCCTTCCCCATCAGTACCTGTTCCAGCTCTGCTGCTCGTGGTCAAAAACAAGAGCAAGAGATTTAGAAATAAATTAAAAGAAAACCAGGTCAGGTCAGGAACTTCAGCCGGATGAAGAGAAAGGGAATACCAGCTGACAATTTCATTACTGCACCATACCTACCTTTAGTAGGGCTAAGATTTTATTAGCTTAATAAAACAAATCAGGGTGAGGAGACATTGCAAAATGCTGAATAACGTAAAGGCCAGATGAAACACCTGTCTTTAGAAAATAACTGCACAAGAAGCTGACAGTCTGGTCTTTCACAAGCTTAAAAGAAACCCCAGTTCTCTGCTATAGGCAGTCAGCCTTCCTCCCCCCCCACTTTCTTTTGGTTTCTCACCATCCAAGTGCTACTTCTAGTGATAAATTTGGGAAGAGTATACTACCAGGGACTCTTATCTGACCCTAAAACAAAGGCAAAACCAACTTATTCATGAAAAATTGGAAGCACTTGAAAGCTTTAAGGAGATTGGACCCACCACACCCCCTTCCCTCCCTAACCCCCTTTTATGACTGTCCCCTGTGCAGCTGCCACGTCAGCGTCACTCTCCTGGATCGCACATTTTGGGAGCCATCAGCCTAATCTGGCTCCATCTGGCCAGATTTAAATGACAAGCTTCTCCTGACACAGGAAATGCTGTCCTTTTTGAAAAATAACTATGGATACCAGTAAGATTAGCAGCAGGAGAGCTACCCCTCTGGATTATTTATTTACTTATCCCTTTGGCAAATTGTTAATATCTTTCTACTGACACATTTCTGATTTAATGTCAGCACTTGAACAAAATTTCACATATTCACCTTAGCTTTACCTCCTTTGAAAAGAAAGCAGGCAAATACATCTCCAGAAACAGAACTGATGCAGAAAAAACCTTATGGGCAGTTTTCTGTAATTTTAAGGCTACTGTGCCTGATTAACCAAGTCCTTGTTCCCTTCTAGCCACCCCATTTCTCTATTCCACAGTGACATCATACATTTGTATTTGATCTCAGCTTTTCACGGACATCATTTTCTGTTATCATAAATTCAACATTATGATCTCACTAAAACACTGAAAATGAATGCTGACATGGTTTTGGAAAAGGACAAGATCTATATAAACCTGTATTTTATCTTCAGTAAGCAAATGTACCAATCAAAATGATAAAAGCACTGCCAGTTAAATTTATTTCTGCTTAGCCAATATAGATAAAAATCTCTCCAATACTATAAGAGTCCATCTAAGCCCAAATTCAGACCCTGTGCTTCAAGACATGGCTCAAACTTCAATACAGTCCCTATACCAGAAGTCTGGATGCATCTTAGAAAGAAGTACAAAAAATTCAACCAGAAGCCCCTGTACACAGAAACCTGTCCCCCAGGAACACCAACTCAGCTCTGCCAGCAGCCAGACACGGATAAATCTTTTAGCAGCAGTAAAAAGCATGAGATTTACCAATCCTCAGTATCTCCTCCTTTTGATAATTTAGTATTTCACCACAATTCTGAACTCTTCTAGGCAATAACAAATGTGACCTCTTAAAAGATTGCATCTCCAATTCAACCAAACACTTCTTAGTGGAAACCTTTGCTGGTGCCTGAGGTATACAACATCAGTTTATTCCTGCATATGGGAACAGCCAATATTGAGGCAAGATCCTCCTCCCTTTCATTTAAATAGAAATTAAACTCCCCAGTGTTAGTCAGCATTTCTGGAGCAAGCAGAGTCTGCCCCAGGCTGCTCCTGGGGATGAGTCAGGTCCAGGCCAGGCCCTGGTTCCACAACTGTGAGTGCTCCCAGTGAGCTTAACCAGTAACGTGGAAGGAGCCTAATCCCCTGTCTCCAGTCAACAGGTCATTTGCACACAAATCTTTGCAGATTTGGGTCCCGAGTGCCACTTCTCCCTCCCAGCCAAACTGCTGCTCAGGCACTGAGGGGCAGCACTGCTGGGGGTGGGCACAGTGCTGAACAGCCTGGATGTGCTTTCTAAAACACAACTTTTTATGCGTGTTTTAAATCAGTCACATTATTAAATGCAAAAATCGATAACGTGAATCAGCGCTACACAAAACCCAGTTTAATAGCACCATCCATGACAGTGCAGCAGCTGCTCCTCATGTCTGTGAATCCCACAATCCTCAGAGGCTCAGTAACTTGTCCTGGGTGTACAGCACTACAAACCAGAGCTGAACCACGGGCTGACTGAAAACTTGGAACACAGCATCAGTGGAACCTGGATTGCAGATTAGGGCAGATGATCCTAAAAAATACAAAGTCAGAAAAAATCCCCCAACACAGATATCCCTTATTCTCAGGCCCTTGTTGGAATAGCTGGAGATTCCTTAAAAATCTGTGGAAGGCTTCTTTTAAGATTTTAAAGTTTAATGGAAATGTTATTGCTTAGCTACTGCATGTTTTCATTCAAAGAAAAGGAATATTAAGATGAAGTTGTTGGAACCCTCTCATCCTAATTATTGTCAGGGAAAAGAGGCGAAGAATCAGTCCCATTGTAGGGCACAGAGTACAAATAACAAACAAATAACCAGCTTTATCCCTTAATCAGATCCATTCTCTTCTGGTTGAACTAACTATCTGAAAATGGCACCCATCCAGAATGTGCTAATCTTGCAGCAGTCAATCCTTTCCCCAGGAAAATACACAGTATAATACTTCAATAATTCAGTGTCAAAACAGTTGCTAGAGAAGTCCCATAGTTTGACTGCAATTTAAATTTACATTCCCCTGAAGAAAGAATTATGGATCTGTTTGAAATAAAGTCAAGTCTCTGAAATGGTGCGTTCCCAAAAGAGACATAGTCCTTTTTGTCTATGATAATCTCATTACTTCCTCATTAAGTAAAACTTAATCCAAAGTAGGAAGATCAATTTGAGTAACACTTAAAACAATCAGCCTCATGGACTGCTCTGTCACCGTGCAAGGACAGGGAATAGCTCATCTGCTTTCCAAGGATCTGCATGTTACAAGGGACAGCTAGTCCCCCTCCATTCTTTGAATATTTTTAGAAAACCCAAGACAAAATAAACTTTAAAAACACTTCACATAGAAAAAACATTGCAACAAGCACATAAACAAAAGAAAGTAAATGTTTTAGAAGTTGACAAGTTGACATAAAAAGGGTAGGAAAAGAAGTCACCATGTCACATTGGTTCAAGTGAGTCAGGTGGCATTTTACATTGTGTTGTTTTGAACAAAAGAAGCTCAGTCCACTTTCACCAAGCAAATGTGTTGATTGCAAAGCTGCAGCCAGCACATCTGCCAACTGCAAGGTTTGACTGAGAGCACGAACTGAGAAAATCCTCTGACACTTCCAGAGGTTAATTATCATACAACAGTTGGGATTGGGGGACCCTAAAGCCCACCCAATCCCACCCCCTGCCGTGGGCAAGGACACCTTCCACTAGCCCAGGTTGCTCAGAGCTCCATCCAGCCTGGCCTTGGACACTGTCAGGGACGGGCCAGCCACAACTCCTGGACAAAATCCTGCTTTGCTGAGCTAAAGGCAGAAATTCTGAGGCATCATTTACAGACTTCTGCATTGAACACAAGAAATTTGCAGGTTTATTATATCCTTTTTATTAACGTTCCATCTAGCTTCCTATTTATTACTTTCGTAGATAACAAAAGTTACCAACAATATGCTTGAACACATTCATTTAAAGATTTATTGGAAGATGTGAGGCTGAGTTATCCATTACAGGACTCTATAATTTTCTCCATTACTGAAGAAATAACAAATGTTTTAAATCGACTTGTACCTGCCTGGTCCATAAATCACACCTGTTATTGGCCAGGCTGTGTGGAGAGTGGGATGTTTGGAACAGTGCAGCAAGCAACTTCCCCCTCTGCTGCTCTGCATCCATCAGATAAAATACTCACATCTCCAGAATTCATTTAGCACTACAAAAGTAAAGATGCTGTAACACAAAATTGCAGAAAATCAACGTTCCCTGCAGTATAATAAAGTACCTGGGCTTGGCACTTCTCATCCAGAGGCAGGATCCACCCTGTAGCACAGGAATTTCCAAGGTGGATTCCATGTATAGTAACACAGGGCCATTGGAATAAGGATGCAGTTCTACAGGCAAGGAGAGTCAAGCAGCAAGACCTCAAAGCAGCTGCAGCAGAACAGTGTGTTCTGCAAGAGGCATCACAACCACTAAACCGTCAGATACTGAAACAATCAATACCAAGTAGCAGCAAAAGTTCAATGGGAGACAGCTAAAGAAGCTCAGAGTAAAAAGGAGCCATTGAGCCACTCTAAGAAAAACCAACAAACACCTACTGAAGACTGGGCTTAAAAAGACCTGTGCAAAGTATCTGGATTCCAGCTGTTAAATCACAGCCTCGTTGCTCTTCAGATAAATCAACCAATGTGATTTTGCTTCCAGTGCTGCAAAATGAACAATTGGAAATGCAGTTTCAGTCATGATAGCTTCATTTTCTCTATCTAGTAAAGCCCAGATTTTCTCAATGCAGGAAGGGAAAGAGGACTCCAGTTCCTTGTTTTATGGAATTTAAGAGGTGATTTTAAGTTGTCCTCACATTTTGCACGTCTTCTGTGTAGTCTTTTAAATTAAAGCACTTCCACCTACCACATTTTCATGCTAGCTTTGTTACTGATGTTTTTTACTTTAGAAAACCTAATCTGTATGGAAAGGGTCCCTGCCCCACTGCTGGAGGCCCCCTCCCCACAGCTCTGCTGACAGTCCAATTTGTGCCAGCATCTCCTAATGAACTGCAGGCAGGATACAGCTGGATTAGTTTATGCTGTTGTGGGTACAGCTTATCAGTGCTTTGAGAACATATGACTGTCTGAATAAGTCCAATTTCTCCTTAAGCCAAGATACTTTTCCCTGTTAGAGCCTATGAGGAGCTGTGGCTGTCTGGAGTTGCAGTGATTTGCACATTTATGGTTCTACTTCAGAGCAATTCTGCATCTCACCTGCCTGAGCTCCACAGGTCCCTTCCC